TGGTGCCTAAAACCAGCGCCTTAGACCACTCGGCCACGCTACCGCGACTGCTGCTCTCGGAAAAAAAGAAAACCAAAATTCTTCCATTTCAAGTTTCGAAAAATTAACAAAAATTTAAAATTAAACCGCTTGTGCATGGCAGCGGTGGGATTCGAACCCACGCCTCCTCAGAGACTGGTGCCTAAAACCAGCGCCTTAGACCACTCGGCCACGCTACCGACGCGACGGTTTCTCTCGGATTAAAAAGAAAACCAAAATTCTTCCATTTCAAGTTTCGAACAAAAAAAGCCGCTTGTGCATGGCAGCGGTGGGATTCGAACCCACGCCTCCTCAGAGACTGGTGCCTAAAACCAGCGCCTTAGACCACTCGGCCACGCTACCGACGTTTGTGCATTCTCTCGGATTAAAAAAAAATAAAACCAAAATTCTTCCATTTCAAGTTTCGAAATTTAAAATAAAGCCGATTTGTGCATGGCAGCGGTGGGATTCGAACCCACGCCTCCTCAGAGACTGGTGCCTAAAACCAGCGCCTTAGACCACTCGGCCACGCTACGACGACGTCTGCTCCTCTCGGATTAAAAAGAAAACCAAAAAATTCTTCCATTTCAAGTTTCGAACAAAAATTAAAAAAAAAGCCGCTTGTGCATGGCAGCGGTGGGATTCGAACCCACGCCTCCTCAGAGACTGGTGCCTAAAACCAGCGCCTTAGACCACTCGGCCACGCTACGGCGACGTTTGTGCATTCTCTCGGAAAAAAAAAGAAAACCAAAATTCTTCCATTTCAAGTTTCGAACAAAATAAAGCCGATTTGTGATATGGCAGCGGTGGGATTCGAACCCACGCCTCCGAAGAGACTGGTGCCTAAAACCAGCGCCTTAGACCACTCGGCCACGCTACCGGCGACGTTTGTGCATTGTCTCGAAAAAAGAAAATATATAAAATTCTTCCATTAACAAAAATTTTCGAACAAAATAAAACCGATTGGATATGGCAGCGGTGGGATTCGAACCCACGCCTCCTCAGAGACTGGTGCCTAAAACCAGCGCCTTAGACCACTCGGCCACGCTACCGGCGACGTTTGTGCATTCTTTCGAAAAAAAATAAAACCGAAAATTCTTCCATTTCAAAAATTTTCGAAAAAATAAACCGCTTGTGCATGGCAGCGGTGGGATTCGAACCCACGCCCCTCAGAGACTGGTGCCTAAAACCAGCGCCTTAGACCACTCGGCCACGCTACCGACGTTTGTGCATTGTCTCGGAAAGAAAACAAATATATACCGAATAAAACTGCTTCAAAAATTAAAGTTTCGAAAATTAAACCGATTAAGGATATGGCAGCGGTGGGATTCGAACCCACGCCTCCGAAGAGACTGGTGCTTAAAACCAGCGCCTTAGACCGCTCGGCCACGCTACGCGACGACGTTTGTGCATTGTCTCGAAAAAAGAAAAATATATACCAAAAAACTTCCATTAACAAAAATTTCGAACAAAAAATTAAACCGATTAAGGATATGCTGGCAGCGGTGGGATTCGAACCCACGCCTCGAAGAGACTGGTGCCTAAAACCAGCGCCTTAGACCCGCTCGGCCACGCTACCGGCGACGGTTTGTGCATTGTCTCGAAAAGAAAATATAAACCGAATAAAACTGCATTAACAAAAATTAAATTTAAAATTAAACCGATTAAGGATATCTGGCAGCGGTGGGATTCGAACCCACGCCTCCGAAGAGACTGGTGCCTAAAACCAGCGCCTTAGACCACTCGGCCACGCTACCGGCGACGTTTGTGCATTGTTCTCGAAATTAAAAATAATATACCGAATAAAACTTCGCTAACAAAAATTAAATTTAAACAAAAAACCGATTAAGGATATGGCAGCGGTGGGATTCGAACCCACGCCTCCGAAGAGACTGGTGCCTTAAAACCAGCGCCTTAGACCGCTCGGCCACGCTACCGGCGACGGTTTGTGCATTGTCTCGAAAAAAAATAAATAGAAATAAAACTTCCATAACAAAAATTAAATTTCGAAAAATTAAAACCGATTAAGGATATCTGGCAGCGGTGGGATTCGAACCCACGCCTCCGAAGAGACTGGTGCCTAAAACCAGCGCCTTAGACCGCTCGGCCACGCTACCGGCGACGGTTTGTGCATTGTTTCGAAAAAAAATATATATACCGAATAAAACTGCGCTAACAAAAATTAAATTTAAAATTAAACCGATTAAGGATATCTGGCAGCGGTGGGATTCGAACCCACGCCTCTCGAAGAGACTGGTGCCTAAAACCAGCGCCTTAGACCGCTCGGCCACGCTACCGGCGACGGTTTGTGCATTGTTCTCGAAAAAAAAATATATATACCGAATAAAACTGCGCTAACAAAAATTAAATTTCAAGTTTAAAATAAATTAAGGATATCTGGCAGCGGTGGGATTCGAACCCACGCCTCCGAAGAGACTGGTGCCTTAAAACCAGCGCCTTAGACCGCTCGGCCACGCTACCGGCGACGGTTTGTGCATTGTTCTCGAAAAAAAATATATATACCGAATAAAACTGCGCTAACAAAAATTAAATTTAAAATTAAACCGATTAAGGATATCTGGCAGCGGTGGGATTCGAACCCACGCCTCTCGAAGAGACTGGTGCCTAAAACCAGCGCCTTAGACCGCTCGGCCACGCTACCGGCGACGTTTGTGCATTGTCTCGAAAAGAAAATATATATACCGAATAAAACTGCGCTAACAAAAATTAAATTTAAAATTAAACCGATTAAGGATATCTGGCAGCGGTGGGATTCGAACCCACGCCTCCGAAGAGAGACTGGTGCCTTAAAACCAGCGCCTTAGACCGCTCGGCCACGCTACCGGCGACGGTTTGTGCATTTCTCGAAAAGAAAATATATATACCGAATAAAACTGCGCTAACAAAAATTAAATTTAAAATTAAACCGATTAAGGATATCTGGCAGCGGTGGGATTCGAACCCACGCCTCCGAAGAGACTGGTGCCTTAAACCAGCGCCTTAGACCGCTCGGCCACGCTACCGGCGACGGTTTGTCTCGCATTGTTCGAAAAGAAAATATATATACCGAATAAAACTGCGCTAACAAAAATTAAATTTAAAATTAACCGATTAAGGATATCTGGCAGCGGTGGGATTCGAACCCACGCCTCCTCGAAGAGACTGGTGCCTTAAAACCAGCGCCTTAGACCGCTCGGCCACGCTACCGACGACGGTTTGTGCATTGTTTCGAAAAGAAAAATATATATACCGAATAAAACTGCGCTAACAAAAATTAAATTTAAAATTAAACCGATTAAGGATATCTGGCAGCGGTGGGATTCGAACCCACGCCTCCGAAGAGACTGGTGCCTTAAAACCAGCGCCTTAGACCGCTCGGCCACGCTACGGCGACGGCGACGTTTGTGCATTGTTTCGAAAAAAAATATATATACCGAATAAAACTGCATTTAACAAAAATTAAATTTAAAAATTAAACCGATTAAGGATATCTGGCAGCGGTGGGATTCGAACCCACGCCTCCGAAGAGACTGGTGCCTTAAACCAGCGCCTTAGACCGCTCGGCCACGCTACCGGCGACGGTTTGTGCATTGTTTCGAAAAGAAAATATATATACCGAATAAAACTGCGCTAACAAAAATTAAATTTAAAATTAAACCGATTAAAGGATATCTGGCAGCGGTGGGATTCGAACCCACGCCTCCGAAGAGACTGGTGCCTTAAAACCAGCGCCTTAGACCGCTCGGCCACGCTACCGGCGACGGTTTGTGCATTGTTCTCGAAAAAAAAAATATATATACCGAAAAAACTGCGCTAACAAAAATTAAATTTAAAATTAAACCGATTAAGGATATCTGGCAGCGGTGGGATTCGAACCCACGCCTCCGAAGAGACTGGTGCCTTAAAACCAGCGCCTTAGACCGCTCGGCCACGCTACCGGCGACGGTTTGTGCATTGTTTCGAAAAAGAAAATATATATACCGAATAAAACTGCGCTAACAAAAATTAAATTTAAAATTAAACCGATTAAGGATATCTGGCAGCGGTGGGATTCGAACCCACGCCTCCGAAGAGACTGGTGCCTTAAACCAGCGCCTTAGACCGCTCGGCCACGCTACCGGCGACGGTTTGTGCATTGTCTCGAAAAGAAAATATATATACCGAATAAAACTGCGCTAACAAAAATTAAATTTAAAATTAAACCGATTAAGGATATCTGGCAGCGGTGGGATTCGAACCCACGCCTCCGAAGAGACTGGTGCCTTAAACCAGCGCCTTAGACCGCTCGGCCACGCTACCGGCGGCGACGGTTTGTGCATTGTTTCGAAAAGAAAAATATATATACCGAATAAAACTGCGCTAACAAAAATTAAATTTAAAATTAAACCGATTAAGGATATCTGGCAGCGGTGGGATTCGAACCCACGCCTCCGAAGAGACTGGTGCCTTAAAAACCAGCGCCTTAGACCGCTCGGGCCACGCTACCGGCGACGGTTTGTGCATTGTTTCGAAAAGAAAAATATATACCGAATAAAACTGCGCTAACAAAAATTAAATTTAAAATTAAACCGATTAAGGATATCTGGCAGCGGTGGGATTCGAACCCACGCCTCCGAAGAGACTGGTGCCTTAAACCAGCGCCTTAGACCGCTCGGCCACGCCGACTCGGCAAAAAAAAAAATATATATACCTAAAACCGCGTTTGATATCATTGATTAAAAAGAAAACCAAAATTCGGCCACGCTATGTGCATCGAAAAGAAAAAATATATATACCGAATAAAACTGCGCTAACAAAAATTAAATTTAAATTATTAAACCGATTAAGGATATCTGGCAGCGGTGGGATTCGAACCCACGCCTCCGAAGAGACTGGTGCCTTAAACCAGCGCCTTAGACCGCTCGGCCACGCTACCCGACGTTTGTGCATTGTTTAAAAAGAAAACCTATTCTTCCGGCGAAAAAAATTAAACCGATTGTGCATGGCAGCGGTGGGATTCGAACCCAAAGAGACTGGTGCCTAAAACCAGCGCCTTAGACCACTCGGCCACGCTACCGACGTTTGTGCATTCTCGAAAAAAAAAAAACCGAAAAAACTGCGCTAACAAAAATTAAATTTCGAAAAATTAAACCGATTAAGGATATCTGGCAGCGGTGGGATTCGAACCCACGCCTCCCGAAGAGACTGGTGCCTAAAACCAGCGCCTTAGACCGCTCGGCCACGCTACCGGCGACGGTTTGTGCATTGTCTCTAAAAAAAAAGAAAATATATAAAAGAAAACGAATAAAAATTAAAAAAAATTTCAAGTTTTAAAATTAAAAAATTAAGCCGCTTGTGCTGGCAGCGGTGGGATTCGAACCCACGCCTCCGAAGAGACTGGTGCCTAAAACCAGCGCCTTAGACCGCTCGGCCACGCTACCGGCGACGGTTTGTGCATTGTTTCGAAAAGAAAATATATATACCGAAAAAACTGCGCTAACAAAAATTAAATTTAAAATTAAACCGATTAAGGATATCTGGCAGCGGTGGGATTCGAACCCACGCCTCCGAAGAGACTGGTGCCTTAAAACCAGCGCCTTAGACCGCTCGGCCACGCTACCGGCGACGGTTTGTGCATTGTCTCGAAAAGAAAATATATATACCGAATAAAACTGCGCTAACAAAAATTAAATTTAAAATTAAACCGATTAAGGATATCTGGCAGCGGTGGGATTCGAACCCACGCCTCCGAAGAGACTGGTGCCTTAAACCAGCGCCTTAGACCGCTCGGCCACGCTACCGGCGACGGTTTGTGCATTGTTTCGAAAAAGAAAATATATATACCGAATAAAACTGCGCTAACAAAAATTAAATTTAAAATTAAACCGATTAAGGATATCTGGCAGCGGTGGGATTCGAACCCACGCCTCCGAAGAGACTGGTGCCTTAAACCAGCGCCTTAGACCGCTCGGCCACGCTACCGGCGACGGTTTGTGCATTGTTTCGAAAAGAAAATATATATACCGAATAAAACTGCGCTAACAAAAATTAAATTTAAAATTAAACCGATTAAGGATATCTGGCAGCGGTGGGATTCGAACCCACGCCTCCGAAGAGACTGGTGCCTTAAACCAGCGCCTTAGACCGCTCGGCCACGCTACCGGCGACGGTTTGTGCATTGTTTCGAAAAGAAAATATATATACCGAATAAAACTGCGCTAACAAAAATTAAATTTAAAATTAAACCGATTAAGGATATCTGGCAGCGGTGGGATTCGAACCCACGCCTCCGAAGAGACTGGTGCCTTAAACCAGCGCCTTAGACCGCTCGGCCACGCTACCGCGACGGTTTGTGCATTGTTTCGAAAAGAAAATATATATACCGAATAAAACTGCGCTAACAAAAATTAAATTTAAAATTAAACCGATTAAGGATATCTGGCAGCGGTGGGATTCGAACCCACGCCTCCGAAGAGACTGGTGCCTTAAACCAGCGCCTTAGACCGCTCGGCCACGCTACCGGCGACGGTTTGTGCATTGTCTCGAAAAGAAAATATATATACCGAATAAAACTGCGCTAACAAAAATTAAATTTAAAATTAAACCGATTAAGGATATCTGGCAGCGGTGGGATTCGAACCCACGCCTCCGAAGAGACTGGTGCCTAAAACCAGCGCCTTAGACCGCTCGGCCACGCTACCGGCGACGGTTTGTGCATTGTTTCGAAAAAAAATATATATACCGAAAAACTGCGCATAACAAAAATTAAATAAAAATTAAACCGATTAAGGATATCTGGCAGCGGTGGGATTCGAACCCACGCCTCCGAAGAGACTGGTGCCTTAAACCAGCGCCTTAGACCGCTCGGCCACGCTACCGGCGACGGTTTGTGCATTGTTTCGAAAAGAAAATATATATACCGAATAAAACTGCGCTAACAAAAATTAAATTTAAAATTAAACCGATTAAGGATATCTGGCAGCGGTGGGATTCGAACCCACGCCTCCGAAGAGACTGGTGCCTTAAACCAGCGCCTTAGACCGCTCGGCCACGCTACCGGCGACGGTTTGTGCATTGTCTCGAAAAGAAAATATATATACCGAATAAAACTGCGCTAACAAAAATTAAATTTAAAATTAAACCGATTAAGGATATCTGGCAGCGGTGGGATTCGAACCCACGCCTCCGAAGAGACTGGTGCCTTAAACCAGCGCCTTAGACCGCTCGGCCACGCTACCGGCGACGGTTTGTGCATTGTTTCGAAAAGAAAATATATATACCGAATAAAACTGCGCTAACAAAAATTAAATTTAAAATTAAACCGATTAAGGATATCTGGCAGCGGTGGGATTCGAACCCACGCCTCCTCGAAGAGACTGGTGCCTTAAACCAGCGCCTTAGACCGCTCGGCCACGCTACCGGCGACGGTTTGTGCATTGTTTCGAAAAAAGAAAATATATATACCGAATAAAACTGCGCTAACAAAAATTAAATTTAAAATTAAACCGATTAAGGATATCTGGCAGCGGTGGGATTCGAACCCACGCCTCCGAAGAGACTGGTGCCTTAAACCAGCGCCTTAGACCACTCGGCCACGCTACCGGCGACGGTTTGTGCATTGTTTCGAAAAGAAAATATATATACCGAATAAAACTGCGCTAACAAAAATTAAATTTCGAAAAATTAAACCGATTAAGGATATCTGGCAGCGGTGGGATTCGAACCCACGCCTCCGAAGAGACTGGTGCCTTAAACCAGCGCCTTAGACCGCTCGGCCACGCTACCGGCGACGGTTTGTGCATTGTCTCGGATTAAAAAGAAAAAATATATACCGAATCTGCGCTAACAAAAATTAAATTTAAAATTAAACCGATTAAGTGCATGGCAGCGGTGGGATTCGAACCCACGCCTCCGAAGAGACTGGTGCCTAAAACCAGCGCCTTAGACCGCTCGGCCACGCTACC